CCCCCCTCGCTTCCTCCCCCGCTACTGTCACTTGCGGTATACTGCGCAACGTTAAAGGTGCTGTACCCATCCAAGCACTCTCGTCGTAAAACAAAAAGTAAGTCGAAACGTGATCACTCGACGAGGCCAGTGTACTTTTCGAGCCTCGGAACAACTAAAATATTTCTCACGAGCCCAAGCCTGGGATCCAAAGACTCCTGGCGTGTTGTTCTGACGTTATCCCGAATGTCCACAAAAATTATTGTATGTAACGTTAATACCAACGGAGCTCGAACTGTTAACCTTTTCTAAAACTTGAATATAATATCATATATATCCATGAAACGGACGCTCCAGCAGAGTACCTGGCTGAGGGAGTAGAGTAGGACTTTATCTTCATGTCAATACGATCGCTGTAATGAATGCCTTTTACTACAGTCCTCTCACTGAAAGGCGATTAGTATACCAATCTATTTCTCGCCGAGCGAACATCACCTGTAACTTTGTCAAACCCCCGTATGGATGTAACGTGGTGACCAGTAAGCTACGAAATTCTTTATCAATGAGTACAAAGGAAAGCGCTCAACTCTAACTGAGCTCAGCCATACTTATTAAGCGACATCTACCTGGGGATCCAACAATGCGGACGGTTGACACCACGCTTAGTCCTGTGGCTGTAACCAAGCGCGAGCTTCCATCAGCGCATTGCCCAGCAGATTCTTGCCAAAGCACAAACTGCGCGTCTCGGCATCGACGTCTCCTGTACGTTGGAACGATACACTCTCGCGGAACATTCTGGTTACACTAGCCACACTCAGACCGATGCCCCATATCGCATCATGTCGTGAGGCCTCGTACAATCTTTTAGCACCCGTCGCCAAGAGTTTTGCTGCCATCTCTTCGTCTGATGAGAATTTGAGCTTCAGTGCTTCCAACATCACTTCGTACCGATGTTCGGCCCACACTTCATCGTCATAGTTTTCCACCTGCCTCCCGAGTTTCTTTGCCACTGCAGGAGCCTTCGCTCGTAAGATGGCGATCGCTACTTTTTCGTTGTCTCTGTCAAACATTTCCTGCTTCCTCTTCATGAAATACTGCTCGCTGGAATAGAATCGTCGGCCTTCAGTGTCCGTGAACTCGCACGGGTAGAAATTGCTCAGAAAGCCAAACTTGCGGTCACGCTGTCCGTAGAAATACACGGCAGAATTCGTCTCCACAAAGTCCATTGTTGTATTGAAGTCCGCAAATTAAGAACTGAAAAGGCGTCAGATTGTTGGAATGCCAGATGGGTACAAACGAACCATCACTCACAAAAGAAATATGTGTGGAGAACATAAAATATGTTAGTTACATAGGTTTTCGTCCACCAATCACTGTCAAAATTGACAATATGGCTGCCACGCCGACGATGGAGTTGTTGACGCGGCCCGCGGGGGCTCCAAGGAGCTCACCGCGCGTCATCTCAGACTCTTCCATGACCATGAGCTTTTCACTACCAGCCTCTTTCCTACAGGCGCGATCTGCGCTGTCTGCAGCCTCAAAAAGTGAAGAAAATACCGAAAATATTGTCGAAGTGGTGGAAGACTCATGGGAAGAACGCGACTGGGAGACCGAAGCCGTACAGAGCGTCGAAACAAAGCCAGCTGAGCTTGATGCAGATGATTGGGAGCAGGAAACAACACCTGACCTGCCTGACGATTTTCCTAGACTTATCGTGAACCTAACGAAGGTCCAACGCCACCATTTCCCTGTCTCCAAGGATGAGGAGCAAGAGCTGGACATGATGGAGGTGTTCCATAGAGTCAAAGCAACACTACACCAGCATTTCTCTCAGCTGGCAGAGGCCCTATTTGAACAGAGTACGTGGATCATTTTTTTTTTAATATTTTAGTGTTTTCACTAAATGATAACTGTACTCAACTTGGCTGGTGGATTCTACAGAATTGTGCTTCCATTGCACCTACGGCACTTCACGAGTGATGCTGGATAATTTACATGCGGCGTATCCGGACGACTTCTTCGCCATGGTAGACTACCCGACAGAGATCGATGGTATGCCGCTGCATGAATTCCTCCACACGTTGTCGTACCCGTCAAAGTGGAAGAGTGTAGAGTACCTGAAAGACTGCGTACGTCGGTGCTCTAGAGATATCAAGTGGAAGAGAGCTGTGATTACGGAGCTGGAACTGCTAGCGGAACAAGAATGTACGCAGTATGAAGAGAAGCAGCAACGACTGAGTGACGAAATCGACGAGGTATTGTCCCCAGCACGTTGGCGGTGTTATTCTGGTTAACTAACACTCATATTATTGCTATTTGCCCACAGTTGACTCGTCTACGTGACTCGTTTCGAGAGAAACTGGAGAAAATAACGAGCCAAGATGGCAAACCACAAGGCCAATACTTGATGCTGCGCAAACTGGAAGACATTGAGAACCGGTTGGTGACCCTTCTGGATGATTATTTGAAAGAACCCGAACTGGAAGAAGAAGATTGCTACAGTGCGTTTGGTAGCCCGGGAGGGGAAGGCGGTGTGCGCACAGATATGAATGTACTCGACATGGTGATCGCCATGGTATTCGGCCGCTTGCCTCGTGATTTCACGCAGCAGACCACAACGGAAGAACACTTTCAGATGCTTTTTGATCACCATATTCACGTCCTGCGTCTATGGAAGAGGGACTTTGGACGCCTTCCTCCGCAATCTCGAGCTGCATCACCAACACCTGATGGAATAGATTCAGAAAAAGACCAAGTTGCGGACGATGTCTCTGACAATTATGACATTGATGAGCATGCTGAAGCATTCTCTTCGTATTGTCGAGTGGATGACGATGATGTTGGAGAAGCCACGCACGTTGGGGTAGATGACGATTGGGAAAGTGTACATTGTGCAGACACTGATCAGGACTATGCAGAACCGACTCAGAGAGAGACTAACCAAGGCAACGACTCGGATGGCTACGGCGCTGATTTTGATAGCGACGAAAGCGAGGACGAGGAGGAACAAACTGCTGTAGTACAAGCCCAATTACTTGAACAAGCAAAGAGCGATGCAGGAAAGTCTTCTATGTCTACACGACCACGACGGAGACGCATCAAGCGGACGATAAGGCGATCAAAACAGCTGCAGAAGTCGATGGAAGAAAGGTGTTACAGCGATGACGAGCAGAAGGCTGCACCGTTCCAACCGTTTGCGTGCACGGGAGCAGTGGGTCTGCTTCGTCTTGCGAAAGAAAACGAAATGTTTTGAGCTTGAAACTTCAAATGTTTGTTACTTGTATCATGGATTTGGTAATTCGTTCCCACAGGTACTATTGTGAATTCCGTCCAAATTTGCCGACTTGGGTCTGTTTGACGAGCGGGAGGACAATCGCCCACATACAAACCCAAGTCATTAGTTGAACCCACCAAGTCTTTTCTTGCCACCTTATTTCGTACTTAAACGGGTCAGTATACGGAATTGTAAACGCTGGGCGATTTGGGAGATTCATTCAAAGAACCGTCCTGTCCAAATTTGAGTAGAACCCACAATATCTGATCACGGGGTCCGTGATCAGATATACGTAAGTATAAGTATACCGTATTCTGTACTGTGACGGGATGGGTGGCGATGAGTGTAGCTCATTTTAAAGGGTCAACCTGGTTTTTGGTAATGTATGTCGTCGTCTTGTGCGATTATTGACGCCTGATTCCGTGCGATATCGAACAGTAATCATTTCAATTGAATATTTGGAAATTTCTGCAGGAGAGTTCACTTCAAAACCAACTTACCGCCGTCAAGTTTCCGAACATGCGTACAAACTCCGTTCTATCGGTGCTTGGTATCACATTTCTTTCGATGTCTACTGCTACCTCGGAAACCACCGAGTCGAACATCAAATGGACCCTGCGCAGGTACACGCCCAGCAATGTGAGAGAAGATCATGACGAGGAGCGACTCTGGAGTGTCAAAGAACTTTTCGGTTTGAACAAGTTCGAGAAAATGTTGCAAAACAACCCAGCCCAGCTGGACAACTATCCGATAAACAAAGTCGCGTCGAAACTGAAGAACACGAATGACCGTGAAAAATTGTTAAATTATCTCAACCAGCGATCAAGAGCAATTCGTGAGGCAGGCCGAGCTACTTGATTGTAGAATACTGGACGCCTTGTCAAAGTTAGCCGTTGGAAAGCAGGAGACAAATCAAACAATGCGTCTCTGTCAATCGCAACTCAAGAACTTTGACAGCGCTAAACACTGGTATTGCAATTACTGTAGTTTCAAAACACAAAGGACGTCGACAATTTCCTAGAAGCACCTGCAGCTGCTTTCGTTTTCCTCCTAGATTGCGCTCCAAGCGGTGCTAACATGTCGGCGTCCACAGTATTCGTCGAATTTGCAACAGCAAATACTGTTGCTGAGTTTCGTCGGAATTTATCTCCAACTAGTGAGAATCCCGATCCAAACGCTCGCTTGGGTGCAGGAAGGTCGGTTTTGGTTGTATCATTCCGAGTCGTGCGTCTCCGTACAGCTAACGTAGTCTGCGATCGCATACTCAGTAGCTCTTCGTCCTCTGATGTGAGAGAATCGTAAACCGCTTGCGGACAGTGCAGCATCGTAAGATATTCTTGAAAGACGCGAGAGCTTTTGAAGGCCTGGAACGCTTCGTCGTCCATCGTTTCCAAAATCTCCCGTCGAACGGCAGCAAATACGTCACGTCCTACACCTTCGGAAGACAACTCATCCTCCAATACAGCTAGAACCTCAGACGATATGTTAACCGGAGTCGGTGCAGTGTCTGCAAGAAATTTAAGATAAATTACCAATGCACGTTCATGATTCCGGTCCTCCGAGATGTCAGCTTGCCACTTGAAGTCTTCGATATACTCGAACAGCGAGACTTCATGATGCCGAAATCGCGTGACACAGTCTGCAGCCCACAATTTGTGACCTTCGTAGTGCTGCATTATATGCTCCAGCCGTGTTTTTTCCCGAAGACATTTGATACAAAACTCAGCGAAAAGCTCCGGTAGCGTCGAGAAAAACTCGTGGAAGTTCTCAGCCATAAGTTTAAGTACCAGACAATGGTCCAAACATCGCACATTAACCAGAGAGACAGTATTCAAGAGCAACGCTTCTTGGCCGAAGTATCCTCCAGGATGTACCAACACCAGCTCATTGGTATTGACGTTTACTTCACCCTCTGCGTCATCATTCTCAGCTTCTACTATTGTGTTGGTACTGCCGTAATTGATCTCCACAGCACCCCTTAATAGGATGTAAAAACAAGTTTGCTGGTCACCGCGCCGCATAATCATCGTGTCAAATTCGTAGTCTACAATCTCGCTCATGTAGCTGAGCTCCTGTAGTTTAAGGGGAGGAATCGCGTTCAGGAAAGCGCAGCCCTGTTTAATTAAGGTATCCAGAAAGTTGAGTCGCATATGCTCAAGTAGAACAACCGCAGCATCGGGGGCGACTCTAAGAAAATTACAAAATGCTGCACGGTCTACATACACCAGTAGCGCGTCGTCCAGAGCGGTGATGCTACAGACACGCGGGATCTTGAATACAAGCGATATTTCTCCAAAATACGACCCAGCGCCCATACGTTTGAGCGCCTGTATCTTCTTGTCGGTAAAAGCTCCATCAACTTGCTCCTGCAGCGCTACGATTGTCGTTCTCCTCTCAGATTTTGTACCTGACTTCAATGCAGTAAACGTGGGTTGTGCTGCATTGAGGGAGACTTGTAGAGTAGCTTGCAACGTTCCTTTGATACAGACAAAGAACCGGTCGCCTATTTCTCCTTCTACGCATATATGCTCCCCTCTTCTGACGTAAAGGTACGAGCACATGTTGGCCAGCATGACAAGCCGTGTCATCTCAACTTTTTCTAAAAACGGGATCTCAACGAGATAGTTTACCACCTCAGACTCCACAATGGACCCCATCAAGTGCAGCTTTTCTGGGGCTGTCATTGCACCCATACCGCCTTTACCTTTCCTACCACCAGAGAATCGAGCGGTGTTCTTCATACCAGCCGAATGTACTGTCATCCTCGCTCGAAGTTTCGAAAACTTGTCAAAGTTTAACTTCAGCAATGTACAGCCAACAAATGGATCAGCTATAGTGCGATTAAGTTCCAACAGAGCTGCGAGCTTCTTTCTTGCCTCATTAGCCGTGCGTGGCGCGTCCTCGCTGTCGTCACACATCATCTGCGCCACCAGCTGATCCCTTGCAACGAACGAGACATAGTCACCAGTCTTACGTTGACAGAGTAACTCTGACACGAGATGTTTGCTGTTTGAAGTTGACAATAGAGTCGTGATATCTACAGAGCCCTCTGCGACGACCACGAAGAAACCCGATGCCGCGTCGCTTTTAACTATCGCTCCTTTCGCGTACTTCACTACGTGGAAACATACAGCCAATTCCTGTAACAAGCGATCGTCCATCATCTGCATGAATGGCAACTTCTTTAACGTATCTACCACCATCTTAGTATTATCCGACCCATACTTGGCCGACGACACAGCGCCGCCCATAGCTTTAATCCCCAACAACAACAGACTTTCCGATCTACACATAAATAAACTTCACAAATCCACTTCAATATCATGTCAACCACACCAACTATGTATTTTGTCTATCAGCCTATATTTACGTGCACCACACCATTTCGCTCATAGCCAACCAAAGCCGACGCTTGCAACCGTTAGCACCAGTGTGTCATTCCACTAGCTCCACCGACCATGGAGGCGCTGACGAGCACCAAGGGCCATCGCAAGTCCAAGTCGGGCGCCAAGGTCAACAAGCAGAAGCGTAAGGCCTTTGAAAAGCAGAAGAAGGAGCAGCCGTCGCTTGCTGAGCAGCGTAAGAACCCCAAAGCCTTCGGAGTGGCCAAAGCTGGGCGTGCACGCAAGACCATCCAGCGCAATTTGGACCGTGCGCATCGTAAGGAATATGTGCCGCAACTTAACCGCGCCGAGGAGCTTCCACCGCCCATTTCGGTGGTCGTCATGGGCCCTCCAGGCAGCGGTAAGAGCACAGTCATTCGCTCGCTGGTCAAGCGCTACACGCGCCACAACCTCGTGGAGGTGAAAGGTCCGGTGACTGTAGTGAGCGGCAAGGACCGTCGTATCACCTTCTTCGAGTGCCCCAACGACCTCAACGCCATGATCGACTTGGCTAAGATCGCAGACTTAGTGCTGCTGCTAGTGGACGCCAGCTTCGGCTTCGAGATGGAGACATTCGAGTTCCTTAACATCCTCCAGGTGGTCGGATTCCCTAAAGTCATGGGCATTCTCACTCATCTGGACAGTTTTAAGAAGAACAAGAGTCTGCGCAAGACCAAAAAGCGGCTTAAAGCGCGATTCTGGACGGAAATTTACCAAGGAGCCAAGTTATTTTACTTCTCTGGCATCTCCGCCAACAAGTATCCGAAAGGAGAGATCCACAATTTGTCGCTGTATATTTCACGGATGAAATTCAGGCCGTTAACGTGGAGGAACTCGCACCCGTATATGCTCGCGGATCGCTTCGAGGACGTCACTGCACCCGATGATATTCAACGTAACCCCATGGTGGATCGCAGGGTTACGCTGTATGGTTACTTGCGTGGAACGCACTTGAAACCAGGCATGAAGATGCACATTGCAGGAGCCGGGGACTTCTTCATGGACAGCGTCACGGCCATGCCCGATCCGTGCAACGTGCCGTCCAGTAAGAAGGGTGCTGATGGGACAGTGAAGAAGAAACACTTGACTCAGAAGGATACGCTCCTGTATGCGCCCATGTCGGATGTGGGCAACATTATGTACGATAAGGACGCCATGTACATTAACCTGAGTCAGCTCAACTACACCAACCCGGACACAGGTGACGTCGTGCCTGAAGAGCAGGACGTTGATGGGGATGAAAGCTCTGGAAGGAGCGGTACGCGTATCGGGCTGGGCGGAGAAGGGGTCGAGATGGTGCAGAGCATGCAGAAGATGGATGTGGGTCTGGATGAACGGCTGAAGGGGGCCAGTCTGTCACTGTTTAAGAACACTGCAGCTATCCGAGCAGATGAAGTCGATAGCGATGAAGAGGAGAGTGACAGTGACGAGGACGAGGACGAGGAGGACGATAGTGAGGGTGAACCTAACGTTGGTCAGCCTAAAGAGGCTATTGTTCGTGACAGTACTGGTCGTATGCGACGTCGTGCAGTGTTTGACGAGAGTGAGGAGACAGAGGAGGCTGTAAAGACTGGCGACTCGGACAGTGATGACAGTGACAGTGAAGAAGGAGAAGTTACTGAAGAGCAGTCTCAACTCCGCTGGAAGGAGAACATGGTGTCTCGTGCTGCCGCCAACTTCTTGGAGCGTGAACAGGCTGACGTGAACCTTATGGAGCTCGTGTATGGTGAGCGTCAGAAGCTTCACATGACGGAGCGTGACTTGGAAAATGAAGAAGAGCAGAAGAATGAGAAGCGCTTTAAGAACGAAGACGATGATGATTTCTTCACGTTGAAGCGCAAGTCGAACGCGTTGGGAGAATCCTCGTCAGCGTCGGAGAAGTACAATACCATCAACGCAATGGACTGCTCGCGTTTGCATCTTGGCACAGACGACGTGAGTGACTGGACAATGCCTGATGTGCTTGAAGGCATACGCAACCGCTTCGTTACTGGCTCGTGGAAGCGTGTTAACAAGAAGGACGATGACGAAGAAGAGAACGGAGACGACAGCGCAGACCCGATGAACGATGACGAAATGGACGGATCGTTCGAAGATTTGGAAACTGGGGAGGTCCACAACGGCGCAGATGATGCCGAGAGCAACGACGAGAGCAATGATGAGAGCGAAGAGAACGAAGAAGAGACTGACGAGCAGATCCGTGAACGTCTTCGTGCTCAGAAATCCGCCAAGCGAGCAGTAGAAGACGACGACGATGTGGAGGTTGGAGGCCAAAAGAAGAACAAGGACGAGGAAGACGAAGAGATGACGGAGGTCATGGTCGAAGCCAAGCGTCTTCGCGAGGAACAGGCCCAGCGCAACGCCGAGGAATTCGGTGAAGAAGGTGAGGACATGCGTCTCCAACTGGAAGGCTTCCGTAATGGTCTGTACGTGCGCATCGAGTTCTCGGGTGTTCCTGCCGAGTTCGTGCGCTACTACGACCCCAAGAACCCTATCGTTGTAGGAGGACTACCCAACATGGAGGACACTCTGGGTCTTGTACGCATGCGCTTCAAGAAACATCGTTGGCACAAGAAGATCCTCAAGACGAACGACCCGCTGGTGTTTTCTATCGGTTGGCGTCGATTCCAGAGCCTGCCGTTGTATTCCATTGAAGACACGAACGAGCGTCATCGGTACTTGAAGTACACACCTGAGCACATGCATTGTCACGCGACGATCTTCGGTCCAATGTGCCCTCCTAACACTGGCGTGCTGGCCTTCCAGACGCTGTCTAACAACGCTGAAGGCTTCCGTGTCAGCGGTACTGGTGTCGTACTGGAACTGGATCACAAGTTTAACGTGGTGAAGAAGCTCAAGCTGATCGGTACTCCCAGTAAGATCCACAAGAACACGGCCTTTATTAAGGGTATGTTCAACACCGAACTGGAAGTAGCCAAGTTCGAAGGAGCCAGTATTCGCACGGTCAGTGGCGTGCGTGGTCGTATCAAGAAGGCGCTACGTGGTGAGAAGGGAGACTTCCGTGCTACGTTTGAAGACAAGATCCTCAAGAGCGATCTGGTATTCTGTCGTACGTGGGTGCCTGTGGAGCCTAAGCAGTTGTACAACCCGGTGACGTCTCTACTTACGAATGAGAAGGGCTCGAAGAAGAGTACGTTGGGACTAATGAAGACGACGTACGAGCTGCGTAAGGAGCAGAAGCTTGCGGTGCCTGTGAACCCGGACTCGCTGTACAAGCCTATTGTACGTAAGGAGCGTCAGTTCTCTGCGTTCAAAGTACCCAAGAAACTGCAAGCCAACCTGCCGTTTGCGAGTAAACCCAAGGAAGACAAGAAGAAGGGAGCCAAGAAGGGATATCTGGCGAGTCGTGCAGTGGCTTTGGAGCCCGAGGAGAAGAAGAAGTACAGCTTTATGCTGCGTGTCAACACCGTTCGTCGTGACCGTGAGGCCACGCGTAAGGAGCGTCAGAGTCATCGTAACGCTGAAAACTTGAAACGTAAACAGCGTGAGGAGAAGCAGTTTGAAGGTGTGCACAAGGCGGAGAAGAAGGCAAAGTACCGAGCTGAGGGTAAGGAGGCAGCGTATCGTGCGCAAAAGGCGGCGAGAGGGTAAAGTGGCTGCGTCGCTTACAAGGCATAACATTCAATAGAGCATTATTTTGCCTAGAAGCTTGTCTAAAAGATGGTTTTTATCAAGTAAATCTAATGTAGCTGTCACAGGAGCACGCGTATCTCCAATTGACCACACAACTCAAAGTTTTCGGCCATGATCAACATTACTTCGAAGTATTTTTTAGGATTTTTGGTTGATCTTGATCTTAGAGACAAACTCAAAACTTTCGACCCTGATGGGACTCGAACCCACAACCCCCTGATTAGAAGTCAGATGCGCTATCCATTGCGCCACAGGGTCATCCGAAAGCTATCGGACGCCAACCAATACCAATTCGTGTCAAAACGAACATAGCCGCAAAAATACACTAACTTTGTACAAATTCGAAACCGTACCTGCCGCAATACCACGCAGAAGTCGAGAATTTACGAGCCGATATTTGCACGACCTACACTGCGTTGTATCACTGCTTCCATTCTCTTCAATGACCGAGAGGCAAATACGTATTTGAGGACCTGTAGTTTTGAGTGATCCATTTTCCATGATCCACAAGTACCGTGAGCCACATCTGCTAAGCTAATTCAAGTGTAAAACGTGTGGTCTGAATTGCAATCGTCGCGCAAAGATGACAAAGGTAGATATCGTCGTGTATGAGCATCTCTGGTGAAGAGCATAACTTATTTTCGTGCTATTATACTGCAGATAGTCAAAGGTTTGTCCCAAGCTCTCGCCAAGTACGACGTGGTGCTCGTGGACCAGTACGGCGTGCTCCACAATGGCACACAACCGATGATCGGAGCTGTCGACTGCTTCAACCGTATGATCGAAGCAGGAAAGCGAGTGGTGCTTGTATCTAACACAGCCAATCGATCCTCCGGACTACTCACCAAGCTTGGTGCGATGGGGTTCTCCACTGATTTCCTGGGCGTCACTGGCGGAGACGTGTGTCACGAGTACATTAGAGAGCGACTTAGTACACACACGCGCTGCTCAGTCATGGCTCACGATTTGGACAAAATGGTCTCGAAAACAAACCTGGAGTCGATTCTAAATGGCTTGGACGTGGAGATTGTGGGTCTAGAAAAAGCTCAGTTCCTCATGGTGGAGGGCGTCCAGCAAGTCTGTTACAGCGACAAAGTGGATGACGCTATGGCTACAGACTACCGCCATACTAACACACCCAATGACGCTATCAACGAGTTCCTAAGAGGAGGGTTGGAGCGTAAACTCCCGTTGTTGTGTCCGAATTCGGACGCTGTGGGAGTCGTGGAGAACGATCGCTTCGTGTACATGGGCGGCGGTATCGCTAAGCTGTACGAACAAATGGGCGGTGAGGTGGTTTACTTCGGCAAACCGACGAAAGAGCACTTTGAAGTGTGTTTGAGACTGGCAAATGTGACCGACAAGTCGAAGGTCGTGCACATTGGCGACTCACTGCATCATGACGTCCAAGGCGCGAAAAATATCGGAGTGGACAGTATCTTCATCGCGGGAGGCGTCCACGCCAAACAACTTGAAGTGGACGCTTGGAGTGATGCTGAAGAGGATTTATGCATTAAACCAGAGTTGCTGGACAGACTACTAGCCGAGACGCAGCTAGATCCAACGTATACTGCAACTCGCTTCCAATGGTGAAGCCATGTTTAATGCAGCCATTTTCATCACATTAGAAACGTTTCTATCTTCGTCAGCCAATCAATCCTTCCCAGCTCTTCCAACCAGCAGCTCAATAACCAAGACGATGGACGAGACTGCAACGACGCTCAACGCCAAGCAACGCCGCAAGCTCCTGCGCGAGCAGCAGCGTCAACAGGAAGAAGTATTAAACATCAAGGCAGATGTACCCATCAAGCAGGTGATGAAACAGGAGCATACCGAGTCTGAAGAATCTGAGATTACAACTCAAGCCATTGGAGGTGGTGAGCACCTGAACGCCAAGGAGCGGAGGCATCTGGCGCGACTAGCCAAGCAGAAAACGGAAGAGGTTGCGCCTGGAGATGAACCCGATACCAAAGTGGCTACATCCGCTTTCACTAAAGTGGATACACTTGCCAATGACGACCAGAAATTGAACGCTCAGCAGCGCCGTCTACTCAAGCGCCAGGCCAAGCGCCAGGCCGACGGCGTAGAAGACAAGAAGCCTGCACAAAAGAAACAGAAGAAGAGCGAGGCACCGACTGAAGATGGCAACAACCGCAAAAGTATCCATCTCACGCTGTTCGTGGGTCAACTGCCTTATAGAGCCACAGAGGACATGATCCGTAGCCATTTCGCCGAGGCTGGTGAGATTAAACTGCGCATGTTGACGGACAAAGCGACCAAAAGGTTCAAGGGTACGGCTTTTATTGAGGTGAAGGACAGTAAGGCTCTGGGAGCCGCACTCTCTCGTCACCACACGCTGCTCCAGGGACGCCGTATTAACGTCGAGTTGACGGCCAGCGGTGGCGGCAACAAGTCGGAGAACAGACGTAACAAGATTGATTTGTTGCGGAAGAAGCAGAGCAATGTGCAGGTGGAGAAGACCAAGGCTTTGATCCAGAAACACATTGACGGTCCGGAGTACAAACTCAAGCAGGAGGACGTGGACGACCGCATGATCGACTTCTTGTCGTGGTTCGACTACGAGACGGCGAAGAAAGCGCTGGAGGAGTACAACCGCTGTGTCAATGACAAGGTGAACAACCGCAAGGCCTTCTTCATGGGCATTCTCAAGCGATTCCGACAGACGGACGGTGTCGAGTAAGTTCGAGCTCTGAGAACACGGTGAGACTGGTATAGATAAATAGACAATTTGCACCTCAAGTGTTGCAATGATGGTAAGATTGTGGATGTTATTCACCTTGTTCCAACGATTCCTTATCTTCGTTACGCCATGATTAGGTATAAACGCCATCAACTGGTACATTCATGACGCATTGCGGTGGTCGAACGGTCCCGTCAGCATATACAGCGGCAAGCCGACAATGAAAGACGTAACAAGCAGCACGAAAATCGCCGAGATCGGGTTTATCATTCTCGACAGGAGATTGGAGACTTGCGCCGGCTTGATCAAATGGGAAATGGCGTTCTGACGAAGCCATAGCCACCGCAAATCGGCAAATTGTAGTTTGGTTCGTAAACAACATTTTTATTCTATTGTATCCATTTCCACTTGTTGTGATGAGTGCGGTAATCTTTGCTGTTTCAGACCCTCCCTTGTGTGGAACTATGCCGTTATTCGGATCTATGCTGCACGCTCCTAAAACTAAGACCAGAGTTCAATTCTTCTTCTTCATGTTTCTCTCAAAAATGAAGCAACGCTTACTCGAATCGACGTTGTGAGAATTGTCTAATTTCCTGTTTACGAACCACAAATGAAAACAGGCTGCGTGAAGCTGGCGGTTCTGCTTCAAGTACAGCAATTGACTTGTAATCGCAGCATGTAAATACTTTCGAGATACCATTGATGTAGAGAATAGAGGGCCTGGAGGGAACGCAGAGTCAAGGAGAAAAATCTTGCGTCTTCATCCAAGATGGCTACATTTTACTGTCGATATTCATCATGATCCTTAGTGTCGTGTCGTGTCATCGGCGTTCAATTTGCTGTGAACGAAGCCATTGCATCATGTTTTCGTGTCCATTGTCACTAGCAGAAGCGAGTGCCAGAGTGATCGCACTGTCACTCGAAGCATCAGGGTACGTTGTCTTCACCCACTTGGCAACATCAACATGGCCGTGAGCAGTAGCGGCAGTGAACGCCCAGCCAATCCACTGCATCTCATCTTGACGTCGGATTATCTGAAGCACGAATTGTACCACATCAAGATGGCCATGAGCTGCAGCGCCGTCGATCGCAGCCTTGGTGCTGCTCTCACTTCGATTGAAGTGTAGCCATCTCACAACCTCCAAATATCCGTTGGTAGCTGCGCCATCCATAGCCCACGTCGTGCAGCCTTCGCGTCGATTACCATGTAGCCATTTCACAACGTCCAAATGCCCATTGACAGCGGCAAAGTCCATGGCGTAGTTGACGCACAAGTCGTCTCGATTCAAGTGTAGCCATTTCACAACTTCCAAGTGGCCGTTATTCGCCGCCCAGCTCATGGCGCGTCCAGCATAACAGCTGCTCACATTGTCATGTAGCCATTTGACAACATTGAGATGGCCGCTCTTGGCTGCTTCATCCATCGGACAAAAGTTGTAGCCCTTCCACATGTTCTTAATGCTCTGGTCCTCGTGCTCCTTGATCCACTTCAACACGTGCACGTGACCCATTGCAGCTGCATGACGCACCATATTTTGACTCAATGGCGTCGGATCTCGCTGGTACAGATAGCTCAGCTCCCGCTCGCTGTCGCCACGCTGCATGGAGGCAGCGAAGACTCCGTCTCGACCCAAAGTGTCCAGAAAGTCGCTAATACGACGAGTTACGTGGGGCAGCGCGCCGCCAGCAGCCGGAAAACACTCGCGCGTCACCAGAACTGCAGCCGAGAGCAGCGGCCACTCAGCAGCAGTCGATGCCATGGCTCAGAGATGCGCGATCTTGAACTGCGTCCAAGATGACTCGAGCATATAGCGGATGGTAACCGTTGGCCAGGGATGGGACATTATCGGCTGGCAGCAGCTTCAACTGCTGCCAGCCGATAATGTCCCATCCATGATGTACAACAGTAAGTTACTGTCAGTACTCGACGTACTACTACTGGACGCGTCTGGACGTGGCGAACTTCATCGGCGCTATGCTCTACTTCGGCTACATGGCGGTCATCTCGGGCGCGCTGGCGCTGCTGACGGGCGCAGTGGGCGTCGGTGCCTCGCTGTGGTTCACGCGCAAGATCTACGCGTCCATCAAGGTCGACTAGAGCAGAATGGACAAAGAGCTGAGGTAGCGTATGCGAGCGAGCTGCTCGTTAGTAGGAGCGCCGCAAGGTTAAACTGTGGAGAGGAATGCGGTGGGCTGTACGAGACGAATACACTTTTCCTTCTTAGTGGTCGCGACGCAGCAAGCAAGAGGACGATGTTGTTGTCTTGCATCAAATTTGCTTTTTGCGAGCTGTTGCCAGGTTAAAGCAGTGAAAAGTGGTGTCGCCCCACCTGCAGCCAGTGCTGTCAGTGTGACGAGTATTGGTATGAAGCGCAAGAGTGCAGACGATATCGCCGAGTGGTCACAACGCCAATGTGAAACTAAAGAGCAGGAGACTGGTACAACAACTGCTCAAGAGGTAGATGATTTTTCACAGAAGAAATACCCATCTGCCCGTTAAGTGCTGTTAGTGAGACTGGTTGGTAAAGCAATTTGATAGCTTTGTCGACGGAAGTCTGGAGATGCTTCACAAGCCCTCATGGTCAGTAAACTAGTTGAGGAGATCCCTCATAGTCAGGCGCCGAGTTGGCGAAACATCAGGCAAAGTGTCCTCTACTTCCGAGTCATCAGGAGCCGGATAAGGGTCGTCCACACCGAAAGCACTGTCCACATCCATCTCAAAGTCATCTGGGCTCCTTGTGGCGAAAAGGTCGATCGGCGCCAGGGTCCTCCTCGGTGGTGGAGCCGTCGCAGGAAACGTTTCTCCAAGTCTTCCTATAATATCATGAAGTAGATCAATAGACTTTTTGTTGAACTTATACAAGGAGAACGACCTCCCGTGGTTCTCCTTAATTGTAGTATAGTGAAAGCCAAGTCGCGTCATAACGAAGTGCATGTCGCTCTCGGCCTTGGTAATCCTGTGTTGTTATTTTTTTTTAATCACTGCCGTTAGCGCTGGGAGATGCTGGTTGGTTTTTGGTGCCTGCACTTTCATGAGCGAACAGCTTCCTTCACTGACAGTATTTTTTTATGATCTCGTGAAGTAATTATGTTTTATATAAAAAGATTTCTCGGTCCTAATTTCTAAAGCGTTGCTGTCGTTCTTGTTGTTGTCGTCGACCTGCTGACCACCGATTATAGACAGAAACAGCATCAAACAATAACCTTGTTGCAAGAATTTACAGAGAGTCCAAAATCAAAACTGCCACAAGATATTTGCCCTTTACAATTGGCAATACCAAAAGGTATGCCTACCGTTTGTTGCTTTCTAAGAAGGTTCTCCTCTGCACAAAAAAAAAAAAAACAAGCAAAGTATGTACAGAGGATAAGAAATACTGTTGCAAAACTAAATTTCACATTTCGAAACTCTAATGCAAAAATTCGACAACACCCTTTCAAAACCGATACACGCACCAGCATTGTTGTTTTCTCCCCATGATGACTCGCATGGCCAGAAGCGGTCGCAGCGGTCTCTCTCGCTCCTTCAGTAGCTGGAGGCGCCTCCCTAGCGGAAGATTCGATAATGCCGTGCTGCGGGAGTTGCCTATTGACACGGAACCCAAGAACTTCGTGCGTAGCGCCGTGTCTGGCGCGTGTTTCTCTCGAGTAGAACCCACACCCATCACCAACCCAGAACTCGTCATCACGTCTCCTAATTCGCTGCTTTTAGTCGGTATCGAGCTAAAAGAGAGTGATATTAAGGGTGAAGACCAACAGATTAACACTGGAGACGACAATTCACAGCCAATTGAGACCTTAGTGCCATTCCTAGCTGGCAACAAGCTGCTGTCCGGCTCCGAGACGGCCGCTCAATGCTACTGCGGCCACCAATTCGGCTTCTTCTCGGGCCAATTAGGAGACGGAGCCGCCCTCTATTTGGGTGAAGTGGTGACTGGAGACGAGAGGTGGGAGCTGCAACTCAAAGGCTCCGGCCTCACTCCATACTCTAGAACAGCCGATGGGCGTAAAGTATTACGATCCACGTTAAGAGAGTTCCTATGCAGTGAGAACATGCACGCACTGAGTGTACCCACCACTCGAGCAGCCAGTGTCGTCATATCCAGAGAGACGCAGGTGCTGCGAGATATTTTCTACAATGGCAACGCCAAGATGGAGCCCACAGCTGTGGTGACCAGAATTGCTAAGAGTTTCTTGAGATTCGGCAGTTTTGAGATTTTTAAGGATGAAGATAAATTCACGGGACTGGCGGGACCTAGTGCACATTTGGAGAACAAACAGGAGATGATGAGAGCGATGCTGAACTTTACTATTCGGCAGTATTTCCCAGAGATTAGTGGGGAGAGGAAGTACGAGAAATTCTTTGAAGAAGTCGTGTGTCGTACGGCGAAATTGGTGGCTAAATGGCAGACAATTGGCTTCTGTCACGGTGTGCTCAACACGGACAATATGAGCATTGTAGGAGATACACTGGACTACGGTCCGTTTGGGTTTATGGAGCACTTTGATCCCAAACATATTTGCAACACGTCGGACGACAGAGGCCGCTACAGATACGAAGCGCAACCGGAGATTTGCAAGTGGAATTGTGGAGTTCTAGCTGATCAATTGGGACTAGTAACAGAGCGTACGGGTCTACAACCAGCTCTCGAGATGTTTGATACAGTCTACGAAGAAGAGTACATGCGCTTGATGCGTGAGAAACTTGGCTTATCAGACGAACAGAAGGACGACAAGATGCTCGTGGATACACTCTTCGATGTACTCATGTTCACAGGAGCGGACTTTACTTGCACCTTCCGGTACTTGTCGGAACTTGACGCCTTTGACACTGGAGATTCCCGTCAATTAGTGCTGAATAAACTTACTGGTGTTTCCGAGACTTTGGCTCAACAAAAACGCAAGCTGGAGCTGGAATCAGGAGGAGTCACTGATTCTCAGTACGATATGATAGTGATGCTGCTGAAGGAGAACCCAGCACGCGCTCGTCAGTATGGTATCACGCCTGCTCTGGTTGATCAAATGAGGACCAATCGTGAAGCGAAGAAGCTGCTTGACTCGACTACAGACGAAGAGCGCATGGATAGTATCTGTGCTACGTGGGAGGACTGGATTGATGTGTATATTTCACGCATCAAGGAAGGGGATGCAGAAAATGATGCGGAGCGCCGACGCCGGATGCTCGAGGTGAATCCGTTGTTTGTACTGCGCAACCACGTGGCTCAGAAAGCCATCGACTTGGCACATGAAGGCGACTATGATGGAGTGCAGCATATTTTTGAGCTTATCACGAACCCGTTCGAAGAACCGAGCAACGACAGCGATCTTGACTATGCTCGACCGCAAGATCCTTCTACCGCCCCACTTTGCGTGTCATGTTCGTCGTAAGGCCTGATGGTTTTTACTCCATGTGTTAGTATTAAGATTCTAACCCATTAAAAAAAACTTTAGTGAACACTTCCTTTTCTTGGTTGTGTATAGATTGAGTAGTAAAGCGTCAAATTAGTGTTAGATAGCATCTCTGAGACAGCTTACAAGGCAAACAGACCCTGTTGGTATTCCAAACGCAAGCTGAGCAGAAAAAAACTACTTCCTAAGTGTTCGGATACTGTACAATGTACACGTATCGGAATATTTCTTACAGTGTGCATGTAAGAATTTCCGAACATCAAGAATATTCGTTCCGCCGGGCATTCCAATGTTTTATGTTATGAATATATTGAAAATGTATTGGAGATTTAGGACTTACTGCACGTTATCGGGCATCTGTAATTCTTGGAGGTATTTTAGTTTTAGAAATGGTGATCTGTACAAATACATGTACAGATCACCATCTGCTTCAAATTGAAGTTCGTGCTGCCAATCTTACTATACAAAGTAGCTTGGATACTTTACCTAAGTGCTTGGAATATACGGATCGACATCTTCAATGTATACAGTGTATTCTTCACACAGTAGCATTACAGTGCTTACTGACAGAAGCGTTAGAGGGTTAAAATATCGGTATCTTGTATTGCTAAAGTTCTCTACGTATACATGTAGTTGGACTGTAGTAGCGCAACAGCTCACTACTAAAGCAGTGTGGCGATAAATGTACACTTAAGTACATGAAATATTACATACTGCATAACAATGAGTCCGGTAATGAAATGGATCAGGTGGATTGTCTACTTACTGGTGGACCGTATACTATACCGTAAGAGACGCTTTATGTGGGAATGCAAGCTTGTGTGATGGTTGACTTCCCCGGCAGATGCTGGTCTCGAATATAATACCCCGGTGCCTCGAAGTTCGACTCAAATACTGTACTCCTCTTTTTGGAATACAAGCACAGCATGACACAGCCGCTTATAAAGAATAAGTGATGCGATTAACGAAATATTACGGAATACCGAACATACCATAAACGTCTAAGCTGACCCATCAGTTTGATCGATACAGTCCTGATCCTCAGATCAGTGATCTGGACCCCAGCCTGGCAGGTTGAGTCTGGGCATTCAGTTTAAGTTTTGCCCTCTGCCCAACAGATAAACACAAGTATGCGTCTGTATATCATCGTGTTTGTAGCTGCAGCAGCTTTCGCTGCAATTACCGAAGTCTCCTCACTCCAAACACATTCCAAGGCATCGATTCGCTCGCTAGAGGACCAGATCAATAGTAGCCCACACCGACTACTGAGAGTCGAGAACGCAGCGAAAAACCTCGACGACGAAGAAGAGAGGATTAAGATTCCAGTCGTTGACAAAATCACCAAGTATCTGAATATGAAGACGCTCGACTACTATCTGTACCGCAACAAGAAACCAAAGGAGGTCTGGAATCTGTTAAAGCTGAACGGATTGAAAGGCAAGGCATACCAAAAACCCAATCACGAGTACTATCTCATATATTTGGGCATGTGGAAAGCCAAGGAGGCTGCCAAGAAAGCTGCCAAGGAGGTCGCTAAGAACGCCGCCAACGTCGCGTAATAGTAAAAAAAAAAAAAAAAAACTGTATACAATCTCTCGATAAAGCCGCAAAGTATTTCGTTTATCATATAAATTGATCACGAGTAGAGGGGCGCAGAGTAAAACCGGCAAACAATAATGGACACGGTTCGCAGCGAATACTCGGAAGGCAGCCTCGCTTCTAGTCGCTTAGACGATGGCAGCACTACGGGTCGAGGTTCCTTCTCCTTCTCCTTGTCTACGAGTCGAGTCTCAATCGATAGCGCCTCTACTCGGTCCGACTACCTATCGAGCTATGAACGGAAGTTCCAGGAGCGCAAAGCTGCCAAGCACAAAAAATCCGAGAAAGCCAAGCGAGAGAAGGAGAAAGCAGATCGACAGGATCTGTTCTCAGCAGATGTTCGACGTAAAGCACAGCGAGAGGCGGAGCGACAGGCACGTCGGAAGGAAATGGAGTCGTGGTTGACCGATCCCAAAGAGTTAAAGAGGATTGAACGTCGATCTCAAAAAAGGAGTCGAGATCGAATGAGAACATTGAAGGAATGGTATATTCCAGCGACTTTAGGTCCTCACGAAGAAGTTCAGCCAGTGTTTGCAGCTGCAATGCAGCAATCCAATCAAGAACATTCGAGTCGTAAGAAAGTTACGAAGCCAATACTAACCAAGGAAGCTGCAGCTGTTAAAGACGAGGAAGACCGGGAAGCTATGGGTGTTATGTTACATCGACAACTGAATGCTTTTACGTCAAAGCTGGAGTATCTGGAACAACTTACAGATCCCGTAACTCCTCCGATCCGAGTTAAAACTCGAGCTAGACGACGACGTGTTGTGAAAGAAAACTTACATTTAGCTCCATTAGGCCCTGCGCGAAGTAATTTACAGGCTGTGAAGAGTGTGGCGAATCTTCCGACGTATTTTACTTCGCAAGGTGAAAGAAAACTTACCACCTCGACATCGCTGCAAATACTTCGGCCTTCTCAAGTAGATAACGAAGACGACGAGGACGCAATTGATGACGCAGAAGTAGAGCAGTATTTACTACGACATCGTAGGATTTCCAGACAAAATTACGCCGCTGTAAAGCTCCAAGCCACCTGGAGAATGTATCTACGTCGACGGAAATATATTCCCTGGCGACAGAGGAGAACGCGTCATCGACGCGCAATTTTTGAGATCTGGGTCATGACGTATCGCGTAGGTTATCGAGCTCAACGTTCATTACTTCGGAAATATTTTACCGTGTGGCATTTGGACGTGATCGAAGCCCTACAACTCCGAGAAATGGAGCTCCATCTCTTCCGACAAGCTGCAACTCAAACGGAACTGCCTCGTATGGTACTTAATCTCGTTTTTACTTCCGATTGGGAAGACGAACGAGCCAAAAGACTCGCAACAAAAGCCGAAGAAGCGGCTAAAAAGAAGAGCATTGCACCTACCAGTAAGGCAGCGTTTCTCAATGCCTTTCTGAGTGCTGCCTTTGGTGACGTCGAGTCTGGATCGGAAAACCGCAGTCGAGTGCATCAACTGCGTGCTCAGCACGTAGCAGCACGAGAAGAAGTGCGAAAGAAGATTGTGCAGCATGTATTTCGACTGTGGAAGCGTGTGCACGAAGGTAACAAACGGGTGGGTCTTAATGCTCAACTCTGTTTAAAACGTGCTGTACGAATGGCGTTCGGAACTCGTCAACGCTGGCCTGCAGAGATTTTGCTGTCTGTATTCGAGATCTGGGCTCGATGGGCGAGTTTTAATCGTTGTAAGCGACTAGGACTGCCATTACCGCAGTTTACGCAGTCGAATCCTCACTGGGATATCTGGTTACACAACTACCAGGAACGTCAAGTTCGATGCGTTAAAGCAGCCGCCAAAGCGCCCGGTGCTCGACTTCGCCGGTACTTTCTTCGACTTCATGCGTTTGCACGTCGTACTATTCGAGAAAGACAAGTTTTAGCGCTTGCGTTTGACCATTATTCGCGTGTTTTACGGCTTAAGGTGCTACTGGAGTGGCGAGAAGCGATTGCGGATAGTGCAGCGGAGAAGAAACTTGAGAGAGGGATTTTACTTCGGATGCATCGATATGCTTGTGCCAAACGGAAGCTGCGGCCACTGAAGGAATCTTTAAGAAAAAAAAGACAAGGATGGCTGATAAGTCGATCAATACGAGGCTGGAAGAGGGTACAATTACATACATGTTTTAAACGGGAACTTAATCTCTCCAAGATTGAGAATAGTCCAGCGTGGCGCTCAAGGCTTCATCGCATACTTGATATCTGGAGAGATGAAAGAGATTCCCTTCTGCTCTGGAGAACGTTTGAAGCGTGGACGCATTTTATTCGCAAGCGTAAGCTATTTATTACGCTTCGCATACTCTGCGCTCGTCAGGAACGACGGAATTTACTTTTTGGCGTTTTTAACGCATGGAAAGCAGCCAAATGGGAGCGCGTCGATGGGTTTCTTGAAGATAATTTACGTCTGGATGCATGGGATATCTATCGCGAACTCTCGGTTTTCTTTCCAATGTTGTTCTATGGTAGTTTTTCTGATGCAGGATCGATTTTCGGCGGTCTTCCGAGCTCCATGTATGGCGATTCACAGCGTCTGGATAAGAACGATTTGTTATTAGCTACATCTGGCGATGCTGTAAGACATTTCCACGGTATTTTAGTGCGGGAAAGTGTCATGGATGTTCGAAACGCAATTTTACAGACTCGCCATCTGGTCAATGCCGTTGATGATACGTCAGGAAATACAGCGCTCCATGTAGCAGCGCAGATTGAAGAGGCTGAAAGACGTTTAGAAATTGTTTCTTTGCTACTTAGTGAAGGCGCAACTACGCTGAAACGCGTCAATCGACATGGGTTATCCCCCGTTCAGTTGGCCTCGGACCCAGAGACTCAATTTCTACTTAATCACGGGATTTACGCTTTTCATTCCCGAAATGTATTGAAGACAAGCGAAGATTGTGGGAACAATAATCGATTGTTGGTTTGCATGACGTCGCTTATGGCTAGAGAGTGGATAGCAGGTTTGAGAAATCCTGGTGATGTGAGAACAAGTCAGTGGCATAGCGCCATTCGTGAGGAATTGTGGCTACGTCAACCGCATATTCGCTTCGCTTCTGACTCTATTTTTGCGGCCGCAGTGACTCGATCTCGTGGATTTCTTAACGCACTTAAAACGCGCTTGTGTGTATCATATAAGGACTTTCTAGATACTGGTTTATCCCAGACTCTGGTGGCTTATGAGGATCGTTACCGTGAGTGGGAAGAGCGTGGCAGAGTCAGAAAAATTAGAGCTGCAGAGGCAGGAGAATACGAAGCTTATGCACGATATCTATTGGCGACGACTCTAGATAGCGAGGCCTGTGAACAGGAACTGATTCCGAGTTTTGCTGGATTATTCTTCTCGTTAGAGTTCTCAATAGACGAGATCCTTTCGCAAGCGTATCGCCTTGAAGACGAGTGCACTGCTGCAGAAGGTGAGCTGTGGGAGCTGTTTCAACGTATTAAACGTGCTGAGAAGGCTTGGAGTGCGATATATTCTCAAGAGGAGGCTACAAATAGAAGTGGAAATGTTGGAATACTGCGAATTTTCTCGGGTGACGCTGACGCCGATCTTTTCTTTAAGAAAGAGATTTTCCAGCTGGAATTCGAGCAATTTAATTCAAGCCAACGCAATGAGAACGAGGATGGGATGGACAGTCAACAAGAAGCGCTTGCTCTGGATCTTGAGTCTTTGATGATAAGAACCAAGCGGAAACTCCGAAAAGTCGAAAAAAAACTTAAAAGAGTCCAGGACCAGATTGACGAAAATGAACGAACGCATCGTGAAGCTTTATTTACACCTACCAGGCGTGTCGAAGAGATCTGTGTAGCGAGGAAAGCTCTGGAGCAGTCGCGGCTTCGAATGGCGTCGACTATTATCAAGCACAGTGAAGCGGAAGCTGCCGTTGCAAATTTAGAACATGCTAAAAAAGTTCTAAAAAGTGGAGAACGTTCCGAACTTCTAGAAGTTTATCCCTTTGCCAACAAGCTACCTCTTTCAGTAGCAGAACTTCCACTCGAGGACAAGAAAGCGTTCTTGGAGAAAGAGAAGGCAAGAGTTGCCAGTCTGTTCCATATGAGAGTCATTTTAGAAGAGGTTCATGCTACAAAACCAGAATCTGGAAATCTAGAAATCAAGCCACTTCCAGAACCTCTCCATGCACTTCAGAAAGAAGCTGTGCGTAAGTTACACTCGCTTTTCGTGTTGAATTTGCTTCGATCCTGTTGCTGCTGGTTGGCAGAGAATATGCTCGCAATGGAGACACCAAACGAGGAAGAAAATGCTGTTGAGAGCGAAAGTGACAGTGAAAGTGACACTTTTGTAGCTGATGAAACAGACACTATACCAGCGAGGAAATTGTCCAGATTATTTAGTACTGCTGGATCTATACTAGCCGAAGGACCGCCACGACGTCGAAGCAGTATACACAATACGAGAAGAGTTTTTGAAACGTATCAACAAGGCTCGTCGAGAAATTTAGAAGATCCAGATAGTGAGAATATGCCCGCAACGTACGCAGCGAGCGCCATGCTTCTCTTTGAAGAAGAACGTCGAGCTGCTGAAGCAATAGAACGTGAACGGTTAAGCGCCAAGAAGGTGGAAGTTATGGCTGCAATCTCCGAGCATAACCCTGTTACGGGTGATCTCGAACTGCCTCCTGATCACATTGTAAGTTTTGATGGGATACCCGTTATAACACGACCAGAATCTGTTGCAATCGAGAAAAAAGAGGTTCGACGCAACCGTAAAAAGGAGGAATTACTACGCGCAATGCGGTATCGTCAGCTTCAACGCAAAGCTGAGAGTGACAGTGACAGTGAAGAGAACAATATCTCAACGCAAGCGCCTCTACTGCCTGTAATTCACGGTGATTCCTGTTTTGGCAATTTCGTCTTTGGAGACGTAAGGATAAATCATGAAATTTTCCATGATGAAGCAAAGGCGAAGGAGGAGATTAATGCGGCTGCCACTGAGGCGATTTGGAAGCGTGGAGGGATAAAGCAGGTTGATAGTTCTACTCCGAGTATCAAGGAAGTACTAGCTCATACTCATCGACAAAACTCGACAAGAGAAAAACTGCGATCAGGAAGCCGGCGCCAAGGAGTGACTAGACAAGCATCTACTGAATTGCCGCAGCCGCTTCAAGATGTTCCAGAAGTACAAGCTGCGTCAGTACCCGATGCAAAAGTATCAGATAATTTGAGCCCTGTTGATCAAGAGCAAAAGGCCGAGCAACACGTTCAAGGAGCTGCGTCAGTGTTTCACTTACAGCCGGACACGGAAACAATCTCCAGCTCACCTGAACCTATTCAAAATATTTCGCAAGAATATCAAGTTACAGCTTGTCCAGATGAGGAAAAGATACCTGCGGAGGTATCTTTACCTGAAATACAGACTAATGTACACAATCGACAGAATTCTGCAAGTTCTGTACGTACAAGTCGAAATTGCGATGAAGAAGTCAGCAATTCTGTACTTGTTGGAGTCGAGTCTTGGGACGAGAAGCAGCAGCATACCGAAGAGTATAATGACGGCAAGGAGATACCGAGTACTATGGAGATTATAGGTGGTGGTTCTCATGATAAAGCACCTGTGAATCACCCCAAACTGGAGGAGATAGTGGAAGCTGACTTGCAACTACAATCTCCAGTTGTGGAGATAAGCACGTCTAGAACGTCAGACTCGCGTCCCAAGGGATCCGGATTCTCGCGAACACGTGAGTCCGATCCACTTGAAAGCGACACACATGCGAGTGCATGTATAAAATGGGAGGATAGCACTGCGCTTGGTGTTTTTCCACTTGCTGTGGTTCAGCCGACGCTATTCGGCATTGAAGATAGATTTAACTCATTCGGTCAAGAGCGAGGATCGACGTTGTCACAGGTTAACTGTCACCGTGTAGCACAACCGCTTTCTCGAACTGGAGAAGCAGAAAAAGTCACTGGCAATCGTTTCGTACTGGGTAACAACGTTGCTGACGACCTGGAGGCAATAGCGGAGGTCAGGGCCGAAAACTTTGCTCTTCGAGGCAAATCGTTAAAAATGACGAAAAAAGGAAAGAGGGATCGGCTTAAAACAAGTGACAGTGGAATGTTCAACGCTGCGGAGAAGGCTCAACAACATCCAAATGGGAAACCAAAAGTATGGATGAGTGCTGAAACCGAGGCATTTGACCAGAATACATTCGATGGAGCTTCTGTGGAACGCCCAACGACGTCCATTTCAGTCAGAGTCGTCACGAAGCCCGTCATACGAGAAGAAATACTCCCAGAACCAATTGAAATCGCGTCGGATACATCGACACCAGAGTTCTTACCGCCAAAGCCGTTCATCAGGCTTGACGACAGAGAAACTGAACAGGATACAAATACCTCAGCATTGTTACAATTGGAAGGCTTGGGACTCAGCAGTGCAGACAAACGTTTCAACAGCTCCATGTCGCTTACCAAGTTAGCTAGTGGTTCCCCTACTAAGCTCATGGAAACTACACGCTCTTCTCGCTTAGCAATCCACCGCAAGCGACACAAAGTTCCTGAGGCATTGGAACATGACGATCTTACACTACAAGGAGCACGGATGACACTCCCAAAAGCTGATATGGAGGAATCACTGGAGCTCAGTGGGTTCGAAGGCATGGCCCCATTGTCCAAGGCTGAGAGGGAGCGACTCTGGCAAGAATTCGCCTCAGATCCGCGTTCGACCAACGTACGGGAAGCTTACTCAATACTATACCCGCAGATGTACATGCCAGCGTCCGACGCAGTTCCAGTTAACAGGGAGAGACCCTCAGTATCGGTTGAACCGAGTAATTTATCGTTACGGGTGGATTCCATTCGAAAACCTATACAGAAGGCGCTTGATCAGAATCGGAAGTTCTGGAGTGCGGTCGAAGGCTATCGTGCCATTGGAAGTTCACCACTCGTGCCGCTAGATGCCGCTACAATAACTCAACGTCGGCAAGATAAGGCTCAAGCCATCTTTGACCAGTTCTTCCGTAGTCACAGGGAAAAAGGTAGCAAGCGCGAGGCTCGTGGACTTTCACTGCCTTGGCTCGAAATGTATCCGAAAGAAATGGCAGAAGTTCAAAGACAACTCGAAAATGCACCAAAGGGACTATTTGACGAGCTCCAGCAGATAGCGGAACTCCAAATCTCCGCTACGCTGGCCAAGCGACAAACACATGAAGGACCTCATGAAAAAAAGCCACACATGTACTACCTAAAAAAGGATAAATAAATCCGACTTACTTGTTATTTCCTAACATGGCGGCGCCGGAGATTATTGATAAGCGGATCGTAGAGTCTACGGATGACGCATCTGGTGATGTACCTGGGCCTGTTAAGGTATCTGTACTGGAGAAATTCTTGGCAGTACGAGGACTTACGGAGAAGCCTCAGCGTCGAGGAGGCAAGATGCCGCCGACTCCTACTAGATTAACTGCTCCAGCCTTGTCGAAGACGTACACGAAACGTCGGTATGGGGGGAAAACCACTGCACAACGTGAGGCACTTTTAGACCCGCCCGACATTTTCAGTGACAGCGTGGACGCGTACGTTCCTCGAAAGCGGAAGCAAGAGTTGATGCACTTGCATCAAGACGAACAAGAGGTGAACGAGGCATTTCTCACGGAAACGAGGGCGCTATCGTTCGAACGAGAGGTGCTGGATAAAGTCGTATGTGATCGAGAGGAGAATCGCATTGACTTTGAGGAGAAACTGTGGATTCTGATGCTGAAAGCTCGAGGGATGCAGGAAGTTCCAGACGACGAGGATGACCAAGTAGATGGTGACGAATCTCTAGTTCAACTAGGGCAAATGGCAAGAGACTTCGATCAACAAGCGTAGCAATAGGAGATATGTAGTCGCTGTAATTGGATAGTCGCCAAGAAGCTCATATATATATCAGGACTCGTGATGTACACCATGATTTATAACGTATTATGTGGACATCATCTTCTGACTCGGAAGAAACCTAAGGGTCATTAGTGCGATGTTGAGGAATCGAGATCAAGTCTCTGTATCTGTCAACGAGCTACAGTACTCGACGAAGCTTGTAAAAAAAGAGAGAGACAAAGGATTATCATGAAGTTTGCCATGCTGAAGAGCAGCAGACAGAGCAACAATACCAGCCACCAAAAGCTCTGTTGCACCTCAAGCACCAGGTGTACGACTGGATTCTAGTCATTGACTTCGTGCATATCATGAAAAGCATTAACAAAATAGGTTCAGCCGTACGTGTCTGACATGGCAGTAGCAGTTAGACATCGCCACAACTCATTTGACTAAGCAACCAACACGACCATCTATAACCCCCAGCCAGCTATGAGCTCTCTGAACGTGACCTCCCTCTTCAACGTCAAGGACAAGGTGGTGATCGTAACTGGCGGTGGCCGCGGCATCGGCAAGATGATCGCCGACGGATTCGTGCAAAACGGAGCCAAAGTTTACATCGTGTCTCGCAATTTCGACGCGTGTCAAGACACCGCCAATGAACTGAATGCCCAGGGACCAGGACATTGCATCCCGGTACGAAGACCCGCCTTAAAAAAAGAGTATCCTTCCTAGTTCTTTTAACAAAATACTTGATACAGTTGCAAGCGGATCTCTCGGGTGAGGAAGCATGCCAAGCGTTCGCCGACAAGATTTGCAAGCGCGAATCCCGCCTCGACGTCCTCATCAACAACTCGGCAATGGGATTGGAAACCCACGTCGAGAACACTCCAGGAAATGGTTCGTAGTGTATTATGGACTATAGTCTCAGCTTCACTTGCGCTTTTTGGTTTAATTTTGTAGTTTGGGACGAAACCCTGTCACTCAATGTGACGTCGACATACCTCCTCACACGGTTCTTGCTGCCTCTCCTTGATGCCGCTGCAATCTCAGCAGATGGAGCCCGAGTCATTAACATTGGATCTATCGGAGGTTTTATGCCGCAGAAGATCAACACTGTCGTCTACGACACGTCCAAGGCCGCAGTGCACCACTTGACTCGAGTTCTAGCTGCCAAGCTTGCTCGTCGCCCGAACGGCGGTCACATCTTAGTGAACGCTATCGCTCCTGGACTGATTCCATCTAAAATGACCGAGGGTCTTCCATACGTGACGGGTAAGTCGTTCGAGCAGATCAAGCAGGAAGTTCCTACCGAACGTATGGGCGAAGACTCGGACATGGCTGGACTCGCCATTTTTCTCGCGTCCAAGGCCTCTGGTTGGATTTCAGGCCAAGTCATTACATGTGATGGAGGTATGGTTGGTGCTGTGGAGACTGGGGTGGGACCCTAGGAAAATTTTGTCTGTAGGCAGTACTTGAAAGTTCCACTGTACAACCTGCTCGGATAATAACATCTCTTTTCGCGTTAGTTTTTTTCTATAACAACACTAAAAAGAGAAGTTCAGATTGATAGTCGTTTCACATTGAAGATCAAGATCTTAGATTTGATATTACGATACGGTCATCGTGTCCGTGATCAATTGCAGTTGGTAGGGAAAAGGCTAACCCACCGTTCACTAATGATACATGTACCTTTTACACTAGTCTTTGTATTCTGAAACCTACTGGATGCTAGGGGTTCCAACGTTAAGGTCTTAACCTCACGTTAACTGTTTCTAACCTCAGCGTTGACGTTGACGTTGAAGACAGTCTAGAGGTTTACTAAACCTTTTTGTCCACTCTTCCTGTCCCATAATAAGTGCATATTTTAATAGTAATTACAAGTTTGATCAAACAACCCCTCTTAATTTGGGAAGGCGACATTTACCATTATGCTCAATGAACATACTGGCAAATGTCTGAGCATTGCTCATTCTGAAACTTGACAGCAATGGCGGAAGATCCCGGCCAACCGGTCCAGCCTTCAGCGTACGGGTTTAGAACGCCCCAGCGCCCCACAACTCAAATGTACGAGCAGCCACCAAGACGGGGTCCGCAAACATAATCACGCATGAACGTCTCGGCTTTCAGCCAAGTATCATCTAGGATGTCAACGGCGCAGTTGTCACCTTCCACACTCCAAGTATTTTCGTCGACAGGTCGCTGGCGGCTACTTGTGACGTCACGAGACCGTTCGTCAGCGACAAGGCAAACACCAGTTGGTCGAGGACAACCTAGCACTCCGGGATCCCAAGTTCGACGTGTTCATGCCGAGACTCCTCATGAACAGATGGAAAGACCTGCTGTACTCTACAAGATGAAGCGCCAACGCTTTAAGGCCCGGTGGATTTTTATTCGTCTCGTTCCGAAACCACAGTTTGAGGGCATGCTGAAAAAGAAGCTAACATCTAAAGAAGCCGCGTTTGCTTATTGCAAAAAATGCACAGCTCGTGTAAATTACAGTCATGGCTCCACTAATGCGGTCAAGGCGCACATGGAAAAATTCCACATGGATCATCTTGTCCAGTGGAAGGAAGACGCTGCCCGAGAATCCGCAGCGAAACGAAGGCTGGAAAATGCTTACTCAGATGCACCTGGCACGAAATGGCGAGTGGTAGTCCCGGTCACCAAAGCAGAGCAAGCCCAGATGAACAAATTACTTGCTAGTTGGATTGCCCAGAGTTTGAGACCTCTCACTATTGTGAAAGATCCAGGGCTGATCAAACTTTTTAAATATGTTACACAAGACCTGGAGTGAGTGCAGCATTTCCTGGAACGACTCAGCTCCGAGCTGACATCAGCATCCTAGCCTCTGAGCTGCGAGCTACGTTGAAAAGTCTCATCCATTCTCACTGCCTATATTTCTGTGTGACCACGGATGTGTGGGCAAGTCGAAGGGCGCAGAGTTTTAGGGCGTTGACGATTCATTACCTGGAGGAAGACTTTACGGTATCCAGTTGGACTCTTGAAGTTGAGCCATTTCCTGGGCGACACACGGGAGTCGCAATTACTAAAGGACTCGAGAAAATAATGGATCGATGGGAACT